GACGATGAGTTTGCAAAACACGCAAAAGACTTTAATGACCAGATGAAAGGTGAAACAATGCATTTAAATAGATTCGATGGAACTAAAGAAAATGTTTCTTCTCCACCAGTAGTTCTTCCGTATGGTCCCTATGGAATGTATGGAAACCCTTACGAAAGACCATTTGACCCATTGACTGGTGGAAGTAACTGGTATCATTACGGACGAAGAAGAAAGACAGTCAAGTTGGAGACAGACGTGAAGAAAGCAACTAAAAAGAAACCAAGGAAGAGAGTTATAAAGCAATGAATTCAACAGGGTGAAAAAGAGGTGAAAAAAGAGGTGAGATCTCACCACTTCACCTAAATTTATTTTTGTGCTATGTTTTCATACGTGTGAGGGTGGTGATATCATTAATTTTTAAGTTTATTTTTTAAAATTATTTTTTATTTTATTTTTATATAAATGACGAAAACTATTGAGATAACAAACTACAACGGTCATGAGTTCAAGAATTTGTTCTTCGTTCCTCGTGAAAATACATTCTATCAGATACGAGGGAGAAAGGGTAAAGTTAGTTTGAGCGTTTATGAAGGAATGAAGAATGGAAAGTTTATACAAGCATACGATACAAACGGTAAGCGTGTTTCATTAGCTTTGTCAAAACTTACAGGTATAAACTATAACAGTGATTTTGACCTATATGAAGAAGAAAGTGAGTCAGAAGATTATGAGCTGTTATATGAAGCACAGCAATGGGAGGAGTTGCAATACTTTTGTAAGTGAAAACGTTTATTTTTTTACATTAGTGAGGTGAAGTGGTTGGCGGCTTTGTAAATATTTAAGGTTAAGTTAGTGTTGTCGTTTGTGTTGTAAAATATACGTTAACGGTTTTATAAAGTGTCAAATTCACATATAATGGGTAAGGAGGCGCACAGTGCCTCCGTACACTTGATATGTATACTAACTAAGATATCAATTGATTGCAATTGTTGCCTATTGCAATTTTCATTACGTGGTCTTTTTGCAAAAAAGTGCATATTGGATCATGATCAATGATGAAGTCGCATACTCTGTTCCATCAACAGATATCAATGCATTGAATGGATGCTCAACTGCTGAGATGCCACCTTTATGGTACAAGACTCTCGAACACAAATGGCTCGCAAAGATGCTCATTTATCGAATGGTTCAATGAAGAAAATCCATAACATTCTCCTAAGATTTTTTTTAATTTATCTCAATTAAAAATTTTATTATTACCTAAATTAATTTTGTAAACTATTTTTGAATAGTTTACAATTTATCCTAATGGGACCCATATGCGGGTTCAATTTCTGGTTTCTCATCTAGATATATTATGAAAGTCACTCAAAGGGTGATTGATTTTAGGATGTTCTTAGAAGATTTTTCGTTCATTTATATTAATTTTGTATTCCCGATTTACATTCACTAGCAAATCAATGCATTTCACACTTTAAATGACAATTAAATTCTAAGACATTGCTAGAACTGCAATTTCCATAAAAAGTTTTAGTGTAAATTGCTTAAATAAATAATTATTTTTATTATTTTTCTCCAACAAGCTTGAAAATCAAACGAAAACTTTACAAAATACTTATTTACTCATTTGTAAATATAAATTTCTAACAATTTTTATCCTGAATTTAACATAATACTGTATTTCTAAAATTTGCACTAGTTCATTCCTAATTGATGCTCGGATTTCGGTATTCCATATGTGGTATTACATATTCCAATAAAAGGCACTTAATGTGCATTTTCTAATTCAATTAGATTTGCACATTAAGTGCCTTATTATTATAATAACTTTAATATGGAATAAGTCGAGTTTATTCCAATATACGAGCTTATGCTCATATGTCGGGTTAAAATCTGGCGTTTGGCAATGTCGCAAAACGCCGATATGCTAATTCCTAAAATTTTTTTTATGAAAAAATTCTTTATTCGCAAAAGGTATAGTATTTGCTCATGTACGAACATATGCGAGAAATTCCCATTGACTTTATGCTTACATCGTTTTGTAAGTCATATATCTAATTCACTTCCAATATTATCACATCGACCTTATTTTACATTCTTTATCTCATGATTAGATGAGCAATTGAAGATTTTGTGATATAGGTTAAAAAAAAAAGGTAGTGGGGCTTCCAGGGGCTGCGCCCCTTCTAGCCCTGAAGTTTTTATTTGGAGGGCCTCCAGGCACTTCGTGCCCTCTAGCCCTGAAGATGTTTAGTATAAATGAAGTTTTTTGGGTATTGGGGGCTTCCCGGGCGCGTTGCGCCCTCTAGCCCATAAAAAATTTTTGAGAGTCGTCGTCGTTGACTTTTTTGTAGAGCACTCAAAATAGTATAACTTTGTCCGGACAAGTAAGGGTCTATCGTCGCTACAGGAAAAGTTACGGGCGTTCCAAGGAAGTATACTTTGAGAGACTCTTTAGAAACTTTAGACGTTTTACATAACCATCCATGCTTTTACTTTACATCCGATAAAAGTGGTTTGGAAACCGTTATGAGATGGTTAGAGGACATACATGACTATGAGTTTAGATATGACAAGATAGAATATGAGAGAGGTCCTATAAACCGGAGAAAGTGTCATATAAACATCTGTCGAAAACCGCTTTTTAACTTCACTTAAAATGCCACGTAAGCTACGTAAGAATATACGTAAGAGGAAGAGAGCATTGAAACATCCAATAGTAAAACTGACACCACAACAACAGTTGCAACAACAAATGCTGAATGACCCCACTATGTTGCAACAAATGTCAAGCAATCCTATGCTTTTAAACCGAGTTCTTGGTGCACAGAGTGGAGGTTTAAGAGCGGCACTTTTAGCGAAAATGGCAGGCTATGGTGGAGCTGCAGACGGAACAGCCTATAACCCTCAAAGTCAAATGAATTTGAGTTCACTCAAAAATCAAATATCAGATGTCAAAAAGTCAAACATAGACATACAGAAGCAAATAGGTGAAAACGAAAAGAAACTAGAATATGACAGACACACAAAGAAACTCAATGAGTTAAACGTAGAGAAAAAGAAGAAAGAAGAACAACTGAAAGAACTAAGTACAGAGGAATATGCGAAAAAAGTGTCAGAAAAAGCAGCAGAAGTAGCAAAAATGGAACAAGATGTTGTAAATTTGAAAAACCATACTACTCAATATAAAGTACTGAAAGATGAAGAGATAAAACAAAAAGCCCTGAAGACATATATGGATAGCGATGAGTATAAAAAGAAGTTGAAGCAAATGTAAAGGCAGAAAAACTTTTACAGTTGCAAAACCAAACCGTACAGTATGAAAACTTAGCACAAGAAAGTAAAAATAACGACGCAGCCATGCAAAAGGCAATGAAAAGCGCAGAATATATAAAAGCTAACAATGACTGGTTAGATGCCCAAGCCAACGCTAAAGCAGCCCAACTTATAGGGTCAATAAGGACAAAAATACAAGCGGATGAAGACAGTTCAAATGAAGCTTTAATGAATGCTGACTTTAAGAACGCCTTCGAAGCTCTTCATAGTAAGGTGAAACTAGTGAACGACTTCTCATCTGGAAAGAAACTGAAGTCTGAAGGTTTCGACAAAGAGTTAAGAGAAGTAGCACAAAATATGACGAAAATAACAGATGCAGCAACGAGACAGGCAGTTCAAAGTGCCTATGACGCCGTTAGAGCAACTGTTGTGGAAAGTCAAGAAAAAGAGTTACAACAGACCAAAACAGACCTAGTAAATGCTTTCTTAAAAACGAAAAGTCAGGTAGGACACTATGCTGCAGATGGAACATATGTGCCAGCTGGTGGAACTTATATACCACCAAACCCTCCAAGAGAAGCACCTGCACCAGGACTACCTAAAACATTTACATCGTCACATGGACACAGACACAGGCATGCACCAAAACCAGCACAACAACCAACAGTTCAAAATCCAGCACAACAACCAGCACCACAACAACAACCAGCACAACAACAACCACAAACAGAGCAAGGACATAAAAGAAGTAGAGAACAAGGAAACAAAGATTTCTTAAAAATGCTTAAAGAAGACTATGGTTACCCAGCTACTCTTGACTTTAGTGACAGATATAAAGAAGCTATTAGAAAGTTCAAGGAAGGAAATACTGACCCGAACCTATTTAGCTTTATGGCTCAGCACCAAATGGGATATAATTTCAAACCTGGAAAATACAAGCTCGCTAAGGGATATGATTTAATAGCATATCATCCAAATGACATGAACGAATTTACTCCGAGATATTTGGTGTCAGAGCTAAATGACAATTCAACTCTCTTCATGAAACGCGTAAAAAATAGAGACGGAACGAAAGAAGAAAGGTTTATGAGTCCGGATGACTTAGATAGGGAACTTGTTAAAAACGGTCTCGGAATATATGAAATGCCAGCAGATGAGGTACAAGAAACTCCACAGGAAGAAGTTCAGATACAACCAGACATGGAAGAAATAGTTCAGCAACAACAGCTAGAAGAGCCTGAAGGAAACGAACAAGTCCCTCCTTTGGAAACTAACTTCACAGAACTAGATGAAGATTTGGAACAGCCGAAAAATCTTGACCCTCAACAAGAGTATGAGGTGAATATGGAATCTTTCCAAGAGTCTAAAAAAATTCGGCTGGCATAGTAGAAGAATATCGAAAAATGTTTGCCGACATACAAAAGACTCCAACACCAGATGAAAATATTCAGCATAGAATGGAAGTACTGAAAGAAAATGTACGCGAATACAATAACCCTTTTTACTTACGACCATATAACGTTCAATCTTTGGCTGAACTCGGTGAAAATAAAAGGTTAAATTTCAACAAAACATATAGAAATGAAACATTGTTTAAAGTTCATTCAGAACCTAACCAATATGGAAACAAACCTACTTTTGTTTCTGCAGACTATGGAACTACAATGAGATGGGGTCATAAAGCTAACCCGGATAGGTGGTTCATAAACTTACAACCACAATTCCAAGAAGTTGTAGACGCAATGGAAGTCAATGGTGAACCAGATTTAGCTGGTATTTTCAGCGCGGCTTTAATGCCATTGAAAGATATGAAACATGCAGATATTTTGGACCAGTATGAAATGAACATGGCTGATGGAAATATAACACCTGACGTTCTAGAACATTTATCTCAAAGAACTACACAGAACCATAAAGATGGTATATTTGGTGAAGAGTTTAGAAAGAAAGTTAGGGAGACAGAAGGAAGAGAACCTATTGTACATGACCTTGCAAACGAAAGTTTACAAAATGTCATAAAAACTTACTTTGCAGACAATGAACCGAGAAGGGATGAATATTTAAGTAAACTCAAATGGACAGTACCAAATGAAATGTTAGTATTGAAAAACATGTTCCTTGACAAAAGGTAAAGGATATGATGTTAAAGACAACGTTAAGTTTGCTATAAATTGTTACTGGAGTAACACTGAGGGAGGAGGAAACCATACACATCGCGTTTCAGGGTATACGCAAACAACGGGACAAAGTAAAGACTACATGCCACCTTACATGACAGTTTACGCATGGTATAGAAATGCTTAGTCGTCATTTTCAACTTCTTTAGCATATTCGTCAGGAGTTGTCTTATATTTGTTAGGAACTGTCTTTGAAAGTATACCACCTTGAACTTTGACAAGTTTGAAACGAGGTCTGGCAATAGTAGTTTTATCTTCTGCTTGCAGTGTGTACATTTTGCCATGTTTGCCTAAAACTTCATAATATTCTCTTGTATACTTTCTTCTATTTTTACGAACACGAATGTGAGTACCTGTCGGGTTCCCATTGTTGTCATAGTCAATAGTATTTTCATATGGGTCGCGTTTAGGTATTTCTATTTTTACTTTGTCACCTTTCTGAAGTTTGAAGCCCGGCATTCTTTCTTGTTTGTCTCTTTTGACTAAATTATTAAATATATAGTCTTTCTCTAAGTCAGGGTTGTTTTTCATTTCTTCGGGGAGTGGTTTCCCAAACCTTTTTGTTTACGGTTATTGTAAATATTTAAAACTTGTCTCATCTTTGCCATGGAGAAGTGTCTATATTTGTCGTCATATGACATTTCATTTGCTTCACCACCTTGTGGTTGGTTTAAGTCTCTTAACATTTTTATACAACCGTCAATGACACCAAGAGCAGAATGGTTTTGGTCGACAATGAAATATTGGTTTACATTTTTTGAACGCAGATAGTTTTTAATATCGTCTGATTTGAAAGAACTTTCACAGTCAGATGTCAGTTTTGTTGGATGGTATTTGTCAACGAATATTGTCAAAGCAGTTTTCACATCTAAAATATTTTTGGACCATAATGGTATGGCTTCACAGTATCTTGTGTTTTGACCGACAAATATTAGCCAGTATGGTGGTCCATCTGTTCTAACTCTCGGAATGTTTTCCAAGATATCCATAAACCAAGCATTTGGTGTTGAACTAAAGATTTTTATCATGAGTGCTTTCTTTGTTGCTTTAGAAACATAGGGGTCCTTGTTTGAATTCGTCATTTTTAACCCATAAGAAATGGGTTTATTTGGCGCGTTAGCAGGAGTTGCATCCAGATTTTTGCCCGCAGTGGGAACAATAGCCAGAGGTGTATTTGGAGTTGGAAGGAAGATTTTGAGTACATTAGGTATACTTAAAGAGAAAGCACAACCTATTATACAAACTGTACAGAAAGGTTGGGATGTAGCACGAGATGCAACAAATCTTATTCCAAATCCTGAAACAAGAGGAAAAGTTCAAGGATGGATGGACAATGTAGGAAGACAAGCAGGAAACTATTATAACAAAGCAAATGACTACTATAACCAAGCAGGACACTATATGGACCAAGGTGAAAGATTCTTTAACAGAGGATATAACCATGCACAACAGTGGGTAAACAATAACCAACCGCAACCACCTCAAACTTGGGGAATGTAAAATTTTTTACTGAGATGAAATGAACAATACAGCATTGAGACAAATGGGTTCAAGATGGATTTGTCGGCTTCCAGCAGTTACACCACGTGTTTGTCAAGTTCTTCCTATACCTCAGGAAGTTTTAGACCGACTTAAAAAACCTAAACAACCAGTTGAAAACAAACCAAACTAAAATTTTTTACTGAGATGAAATGACCGAAGAAGTTGAAACGGTAGATTTGACACCACAAACAAAAAGTTCAGAACCATTGTCAAAACCTGTCAAAGAACTTACAGATGAAGAGAAAAATTCAATAATAGAAAGTGCCAGGTCTGGAAATACAAACTCTAACTACAAAGTCACTTTTCATAAAAATGGAACGGCAAGTATCTCAAAAAAGAAACAGACTCTCACAAATAAAATATTGAAGTCTGAAGGAGCTTTCGAGACAACAGATGGAAAAGTTTACTTCACTGACCAACAGTTCATTATAGAACATCTCATTGACTTAGAGTCGAAATATTCTAAACTTTACAACAAACACAAAAAGTTGAAAGGAAAACAAAAACAAATGGCATATGATATTTATGAAGATGTTGACGACACAACTGTTCCTGCAAGTGAAGTAAAGTCAAAGGAACCGAAAAGTGACGAAAAACCGGTAGAAGAAGAAAAACCAAAAACTGAAGATAAACCAAAACCAAAGTTTAGTTTCCAAACTAAACCAAGTCAACCTTCATTAGCTGGTATGGGTTGGCGTCAAAGACTTATGGCAGCAGGCGGTTATGTTAAGTAAAGAGAAAAAAAATATTTTTTTATTTTTATAAAAATGCCCCCATATAGAATGGATAGAAAATCTGCTAGAATAAAAGCAGAGTTGCAAAGATATGGTTGGAGAGTTTCGAAGAATTTTAAATATAGGAAGGGAAGACCCATAAAAGTCTATGACAAATTGTCTGGTCTTCGCTACGAAATGGATTTGGAAACAGCACGTGCAAATTATCCAAACAGACTAGAGAGGTTAGAAGAAGAACGTCTTATGGACATGCCTTTCGATGTTAGTGAACCTCAAGTTGAAGGACACGACGGCTTTGCCAGATTCTACTGGAAACATGACGAACAATTGCATCCTTTGAGAAGGAAAAAAGGAAAAGGTGAAGACACACATGCTCCCATGGAAAGAACAAGATATGCATATGAGAAGTACCGTGAAGTTAGAAGTCAAATTACATCTGGTCGAACCTTTACAGTAAACTTTGACGAAGGAAAGAACAAAGAAGGCTTCATGGGTGTACTTGCTGCCATACAAGACGGAAATAAGAAAGGACACAATCTCAGATTGACCATAACAGATTTGGATAGTCACATTTACTATGCATATGGCAATGTCACAACAGCTGCAATGCTTCTTGACGCTTTCAAGACTACAAAGAGAGAACAAATGGTTGACTCCGACTCAGACATTTTGAATGCAATTGAAGGAATTGCAAGTGTCAAGTTCGAATGGTACCAACCTAACCCTCAAGCAGTCAGACAACATGTTTGTTAGATGAGAAATATGAAATAAAAACGTTTTCAAAACCATATATTTTTACATATATTAAATGCTTCAGGTTGAAAAACAAAGAACAAAAGTAGCAGATACAAAACCGTTAGACTATATCTTTACAAATGCTGGTAGGACTATTTCAGATGAAGAAATTTCATCCCGAGCATACAGGTTTGACTATCCAGTTCGTTGGCTTCAAAGTCCTTCAGATGCAAAGGCAATAGGATTTAGAAGAGTTTTGTTTTCAAATAGAACTAACGCATTTATGTTCGCAGTATATTTTCATGGGCAGTATAAAGGTTCTGATGGTCTTATAGACAAATTTGATGAAATGAGAATCTTTACAGTTCGTTCAGACGAAAGTCTTGAGAAAACTCTAAATGACTTTCAAACTCAAATGAACAAATACTATTGGGAATTTCAAGAAAAATACGACTCTTTACTAAATGGAACATACTATCTGAAACTAGAATATGACAAGATGAACTCCACCGTTTCATTTCAAAAGATTGAAATTAACCCTCCAAGAGATACAGAGTTTTTATTTTGGAAAGTAGACAAACGTTCTTGGGCACAATTTCTTCGGTTACTAAACCAGAACGAACCATTACCACCAGATGGTCCATTTAAATTTATACTTCCACCAGCAGATTTGACAGTTTATAGAAACGTGTTTGACCCTCAAAATGTTATGTGCCATGCAAGTTTCAGTTCAAGCAACAATAGTTTTCTATGTATCGGTAAGGACTTTTATGACTTTGCTTCTAAATTCTACGAACCACCTAGTAACAGTTTCTCTGACTTTCAAGTTTGGTTCACAACAAATGGTGTGCAACATATTGTTCCATTGTACTATGACTTTTATCTCGAATTGTCTTTCATATACAACTACGGAAAAGTGCTGAAAAAGTGAGTTTATGTTAGCATGTTAGATCTCACCTCTTTTCTCACCTCTTTTTTCACCCGTTGAATTTTCATGAATTTCCTTAAGATAGAAAAAAAGTATTGAAAAATATATTTTAGGGTAGCATGTTAGATCTAACACGTTTTCTAACATTTTTTCGAACATCGTAGAAAACTCATGAAAACAATTTATTTTTGACCTAAAGACGCAAAGCGGTGGGACATAGCCCAAAAAATATATTTTAGGGTAGCATGTTAGATCTAACACGTTTTCTAACATTTTTTCTAACATCGTAGAAAACTCATGAATTTTATACAGAATTCGGCAAAAATATATTTTTGAAGAACTGTAGGTGCTACCATGTCACCATGTTACCGGGTAACCATGTGTCACCAGGTAAACTAACTTCTTTTAAAAAATGAGACAACATGACATTTTGACAACAGTCGGGAAAATGTCAAGACTTCTTCATCGCAATGAGTGTAAATGAACCAAAAATATATTTTATGTTAGCATGTTAGATCTCACCTGTTTTTTCACCTGTTTTTTCACCCGTTGAATTTTGTATAAAAACCAACCGCCGGTTTTCTTCCGGTTGCTATATTCTTCACAAAATGCTTGTTTTGAGGTCGAGCCACTTTTGGCTCCACCGTATTCTTTCAACCAAAACTCATGAAATTTGTTCTGAATTCAATAAAAATATATTTTATGTTAGCATGTTAGATCTAACACGTTTTCTAACATTTTTTCTAACATCGTAGAAAACACACAAAACTCATCTAATGGCTCGATGTTGTCCATTGTACTGTTTCAAGACAAGACTTGCACTGCTTCAAGACAATATTTGTACTTTTTCAGAACAAGACTTGTACTTTTTCAGAACAATACTTGTACTTTTTCAGAACAAATTTCCCGTAAAAGCTCTCAATTTGTGAGAAAAATTTTCTGTTTCAGAACAATATTTGTACTGTTTCAGAACAATATTTGTACTGTTTCAGAACAATACTTGTACTGTTTCAGAA